TATAGCTTTGTAGTATAGTCTGATGTCCAGGAGCCTGTTTCCTCCAGCTCCGTTTTTCTTTCTCAAGATTGCCTTTGCTGTTCAGGGTCTTTTGTGTTTCCATACAAATTATGAAAGTTTTTGTTCTAGTTCTGTGAAAAATGCCATTGGTGGTTTGATAGGGATTGCATTGAATCTGTAGTTTGCTTTGCGTAGTGTAGTCATTTTCACAATGTTGATTCTTCCAATCCAAGAACATGGTATATCTCTCCTTCTGTTTGTATCATCTTTAATTCCTTTCTTCAGTGTCTTAGAGTTTTCTGCATACAGATCTTTTGTCTCCTTAGATAGGTTTATTCCTAGGTTTTATTCTTTTTGTTGCAGTGGTAAATGGGAGTGTTTCCTTAATTTCTCTTTCAGATATTTCATCTTTAGTGTATAGGAATGCCAGAGATTTCTGTGCATTAATTTTGTATCCTGCTACTTTACCAAACTCATTGATTAATTCTAGTAGTTTTCTCATAGCATCTTTAGTATTCCCTATGTATAGTATCATGTCATTTGCAAACAGTGATGGCTTTACTTCTTCTTTTCCAATTTGGTTTCCTTTTATTTGTTTTTCTTCTCTGATGGCTGTGGCTAAAACTTCCAAAACTATGTTGAACAATAGTGTTGAGAGTGGACAACCTTGTGTGTGATTCATCTTTACTGTTTTTTCTCTGAATTGTTTTTCAGGTAGATTGCCTATTTCCTCTTCATTTATTTGATCTTGTAGGTTTTTACCTTGCTCCTTCATCAGTCACGTATTTTTTGGCCGTCTCTTTTTTTTTTTTTTTGAGTGGCATTGTGTTTCTGTCTTACTGGTTGTTTGGCCTGAGGCTTCCAACACTGGAGTTTGTACGCTTTTGGGTAGAGCTGGGTTTGGTGCTGAGATGAGGACCTCAGTGAGACCTCACTGTGATGAATATTCCCTGGGGTCTGAGGTTTTCTGTTGGTCCAGTGGTTTGGACTCGGAGCACCCACCACAGGAGCTTGGGCCCGACCCCTGGCTCATGAACCAAGATCCCGCAAGCCATGTGGTGTGGCAAAAAAAAAAAAAAAAAAAAAAGAGAGAGAGAACAATAACCAAGTTAAAAAAAAATTAGACTAGGAAACTAACAGATGTATTAGAAAGTATATAAAAATAAAACTATAGATGAATCAACAACCAAAAGGTACAACAGTACCACAATAGTAAAAAAGAGGAGGAGGGAAGAGATTAAAAAAAAGGGGCAGGTGGGGAAGGCTTTGGCTCTGGAGGGCGGGACCTAAGCAAGGGCAAGTTTTGGGCAGTGGGCAGGGCCTATGCTTAGGACCCACAGGGCTGGAAGAGGCCCTGTGGGCTGTGGGAGGTGGGGCATAGGCTCAACGGAACAGAAGGGGCCCAGGTATGCTCCCCACCCCTGGTCTCAGAGGGTGGGGGAACTCACCTGGGAACCCAGCAGGATTTCTAGGCTCGAGTGGGTGAGGCAAACACCCTCCTCTCCTCTCCTGTTCCTCTGGTTTCAGAGGGGCCCTCCTGCCTGCCTCTCCTTTTATCCCCTCGGCCTCCTTCCTATGCCCCCAGGACCAATGCGGCCATGGGGAGTGGGGGCCCTTGGAGGGCAGGGGACCGGCTTGGGAGCTCAGCAGTCTCCCCGTGCCCAAGTCAGTGGGGCAAATGCCCTCAGCTCTTCCTCCACTCCTCCCTGAGGGCCCCTCCCACGTGCCTTTCCTGATCTCCCCAGCCTCAGGGGCGCTGATCCTGTCTGGCCTCCACTTTTCCTCCCCCGTCAGTCCCCCCCACGTCCTACCAGTTCACTTGGGGGTTCCTCCCATCTCCTTGGGCGTTAGGGTCCTCCACCAGCAGCCGGCAGGGAACCTAATTATGGGGAGACGTTAACTTGGCGTCTTCCCACACTGCCATCTTGACTCCACCCTGCCCTCTTAGTTTTAAATATTACTATGTGCTTGTTATGTGTTACGTACAGAGCTAGGTGCTGGGATAGTGAACAAGCTAGACAGATAGTCTTTGCTTTTTATGGGGCTTACATCCCAGTGGGGCACAGAGAATTTAAAGAGTCAATTATAGTACAATATAGTAAGCACTATAACGGGATAAGTACAAGGAGTACATAGGGCAGGCACTTAACTCACATTGGGGATGTCGTGATGACTTATCACAGGAAATAATATTCAGACTGAGATCAAAAAGCTGAGCTGGATTTAGTCAGGGGAAGGGGTAGAGAAGAAAAATGCTTTAGGCATGAGGGAACAACAGGTTCAAAGGTGTTTATAGGTGGAAAAGAATGCAGTATATTGGAGGAACAAAAGTTATACGGCAACAAGAGTTGGGTGGTAGAGAGGAAAGGGGCATAGGAAAGAATTATGCTAGATCTGTAGGCAAGGATGTGCTTCTTACTCAAGGATTTGTAGACTGGATCCTAAAAGCATTTGGGTGCCATTTTAGGATTTTTAAGCAAAGTAGTGACATAACCACATTTGCATTTTATTTATTCAACAATGTACTGGATATCTAGTATGTGCCAGGCCTTATGCTAGGCACTGGAAATACAATCACTGGTGAATAAGGAAGACACTGCTCCTGACTAACCGCCAGGCAAATTGGCAAATAGGTTGAAAATAGTGTGGAAGCAGGGGAGACTGCTTATGAATCTGTCAGATGAATGCAGGCGAGAAATGTTGTTTGCCTAAAACTGTCAGTGGGGTAGAGAAGATGAGTGGCATTTATGGGGATTTAGGGAGACAGGAAGAGGGAGGAGTCAAGAGTGATACGGAGGTTTCTGCATTGTTCCTATCTACTGACCCTCATCTCTTTGTATTACTAAATGTAAAATACGTGAGGACAGAGATTTTATTTTATTTTGTTTTATTCTTTTGTATTCTATTCTATTTCATTTTATTTATTGTTTTGGCTGCGCGATGTGGCATATGAGATCTTCCCCGACGAGGGATTGAACCCATGCGCCCTCACTGTACCTCCAGGGAAGTCCCAAGGACAGAGATTTTAACATGTTTTGTTCCCTGCTGTATCTCTATTACCTTGAACTTAGTAGGTTCTCATTAAATATTTACAATTGAATAAATATCTAACTTTATTTTGGTTTAATATGAATGATCTGGGGTTGTCACTTCTTACCTTTTTTTATGGATAAATTTCTTTGAGCATTAAATAACCCTTAAGTTCATCAGTAAGTGCTCTCAAGTTTCAATCCTAAATTTCTAAGTTTTATTAAGTTTAGAAATAATTACCATTAAAATAGAAGAATTTTTAAGAGTTATATTTAATTATACATCACGTCTCTTTACAAATGATGTAGTGAGTGGTATAAAATATATAGCTTTTAAACTATCTTGCATATAAGAAGAAATACTGAGATATCTAGAGATTATCAAATTTTTTTTCACTTGTGAGTGGGAAAAGGTGATTTGTTTAGGTACATGGAATGCAGATTTTAGTAGAAAAAAACAATTAGCCAGAAATAATCAGTTAGTGAAACTGTCTGGTGTCCCCCTTTGGATGTCCCCCTTTGGATGAGGAATTTCTTGAGAATTCAGTGTATGGTTCTTGATTGTTAGAACGTGGTTGCTTTGCTGTAGGTACAAGTTATATGATTAATTTCAATGGCAGCTATATGTTGTGAAAGAGATTGAAAACTCTAAGTAAATGTTAAATTGTTGTGTTCTCCTATTGCCTTCTCTATGATTTTATATCACTCTGTGCCTCAGTCATTACATTTCAACCATCCTGGCTTTTTCTGATTTTTAAACATTCCATATTTTCCCACCTCAGAGTCTTGTGCTTGCTGTCCTTTTACTTAGAATGTTCTTCCCTCAGATCTTTGAATGGTTGGCTCCTTTTCACTCATGTCTTGGTTCAAATATTAGCTTTTCTAGACACCTTCCCTGCCCTTCCAAATCACTTTTGACTCTATCCTGCTCTCATTTTCTCATGGCACTTATTACTATTTTATATTATTCTATTGATTTATTTATTTGTTTGTTTTTATAAATATTGACTCTTTCTTCACTAGAATATTAGGTACATAAGAACAGGAGATAACTGTCTTAATCCTACCACATACTTAGTACTTAGAATGGCTCAAATATTTGTTGAATAAATAAATCTGTTTTCTTAATAAAAAACAATACATTTTGAATATAAAATGTAATATTACATAGAAAACATAATTTTCAAGACACTAAAATTTTATTAAATTTGTGAATTAATGTAGTATGTAATATATTAATACTAAAACATGGCTATTACAAAAGATAGTATTTTTACTATCATTTCAATCTTATGGAAAAGGAAATTAGGAGAAATGAGAAAAGTTGATATATTAGTAAGTTAATGGACTTTTTTAGACTTCAGAATTAAAAAAAATTTCTCTAAGTGTTATAGTGCTTACATACTAAAATTAACAGTTGTGAAAATTTTCATGTGAGCACTTACAGAGCTAAATAATTTTTAAATTTACCTAAGTTTATGAATTCACTTTAACTTTTAACAAGTCAGTAAATCATTAATTTACAACTACTATGCTAGTAGGATAAGAATTAAAGTTTTATTAGGTTGTTGTACCTTGTGTAAGCACATAGAACTGCTAACAAATATCTATTTCATTTCTATCATGGACTACAGAGGTAAGTAATTTCTAACCAGGCGAACTGATTAATTATTAAGAGTAATGTATATACTTTTCAATTCTTAGCATAAGGGAAAATTGTATCAAATACATAACTCAGACTTCTTTGCCCCCTATATATGCTTTTGTGGTGCTTTTGTAGTTTTTCTTGCTTGCTTTTGGTTTGTAAACCTTTTGAGGGCAGGGGCCTGTTTACCTGTATATAACCAGTACATGGCAGTAGGCTCTCAGGTCTGTGGTTGTTGAGTGAATAAATAAAAACATGCATTCTTTGTTTATTTTTTTTTAAAAAAGAGTAATGTATAATACTCAGCTTCCTCTTTTTGTCCCCAGGTTTCCTTTACCCAGTCATCCTGCTGCACCTCCTGAACATCTTAAAGAACCTTTGGTATACATGAGGAAAGCACAGGTTGGCTACTGTTCATTTTAATTTTATTTTTCCATACCAAGTTATATAATGCAGAGTGAAAGATCCTTATTAATATTAGGACTATATTTATTATATGAAAGACTGGGTAAAGACCATTAAAGTGAGGTGAATACTATTTGCATACTTTTTATTTTCAGTAACCAAGGATTGCACTTACTTAACTATAGTAATCTTGAAAATGTTGAGTAGAAGGAAAAAAAATCATGTACTATACTGGCCTAAAATTTAAAATATCATAAAAGTAAATATTATGAAACAATTTGTTCCTAATGTTGTGTGATATTAAAGGAATGAAATGGGAATGAACTGACTCACTCTTCCCTTAAAATTTTAGCTTTTGACACCAGTGTTACTGATACTATATTTGAAACATTTGTTTTCACAGCAGGTTATACATACTAATTGTATTCTGTTACACAACCTAAATGAACCTTGTATCTAAAATGCACTGAAAACAACTAAAAGTCACTTTAAAAGCGTAAAATAAAATAACTTTAACAGAAAAACTGTAAAAAGCTGTTAAAGTAGAAACTTAACAAGTTCTGTCACATGCCCCTAATTCTTTTAGCTGGCCTTTGCCTTGGCCCTGTGTGGTCTACCTGCCTGTGAGGTGGCACTATTCATGAGCCTTCCTCACAGTGCTGGGGACTCTCTATCTAACACTGCTGAGGCATTTAATGAACCTCATAAGTCAACCTTCTTTCTCTATAGTCTCAGAAATTATTATGAAAATTTTCAGATACACCCTAAAGAACTCCAGTGAACCCGTCACCCAGCTTCAACAGTTATCATAGTTCTGCTTCTCCTGAGAAGTGTTCTGCTTGCTTTGAGTTACCATGCTCCACAGTGGTAGATGTTAGGCAGGTTTTTCTTTTTCTGCTTTTATATTCATTTTAAAAACCCTCAAAATTAGAGGGTGAAAGGAAGCAATATAAACAAAAAACATGGAGATATTTGAGGAAATATGTAATATGTTTCTATCTCTAGGTGGTACTTCAGGGCTAGCAATCAGACAGTATTTATTATTGATGTGTCATAAATCATAATCATCACGTGATACACATATGAAATAATTGGTCTTTTGTTGTAAAGATATAAACTCAAGAAAATAAAACTAAATGCTTAGGTCTAAGTATTTTTTGGCAAAATTTGAAAATTTCTGAAAGTTTTAGAGAAAGTATCAGTTTTAGCATAAGTATAAAAAACAAAGCACAAAAGTTGGTTTCCTATTAAGACTGAAGAGATACAGAGATAAATAACAGGTCTGTTCTTAAAGCCTACTGCTAGTTGCTGAGACTATATATGAATGGTAAATATATGTATTGTGTATATACACACAAGGAGTATGGTACTCCTCTCTTTCCTCTCCAGGCTTACCTGCTAGATCCAGAGTTGGCACGCTACAGCGCATGGGCCAGATCTGCCCTGCCACCTGTTTTTGTATGGGTAGCAAGCTAGGAATTTTATTATTTTTTTTTAACATTTTCAACTGGTTGAAAAATCAAAAGAAGAATAATATTTTGTGACCCATGAAACTTATAGGAATTAATAAAATATGTTTTATTGGAAAATAGTCATGCTCCTTTATTTACATATTGGCTATGTCTGCTTTTGCACTACTATGTCAGAGTTAAATAGTTGCTTTAGAGATGTTATGACCTGGAAAGCTTAAATTTTTTACTGTCTGCCTTTTTATAGAAAGTTTGCAGATTCCTGCACTAAATTAGTCCCTTTAAGAGCAGGGACTGTGCTTTTAATCCTGAGCATCTAAGCATAGTGCCTAGCCCACAGAACACTCTCGGTAAATGTTTGATGAAAGTCAGTTGACTCTTGAACAACGTGGGTTTGAGCTGCATGAATCCACTTATATGTGGATTTTTTTCAATGCTAAATATTGCAGTACTACACTAACCTGGGATGGTTGAATTTGCAGATTCAGAACCACAGGAACGGAGGGCCAAATGTTAAGTTATACTCGAATTTTCCACTGTGTGGAGTGTTGGCATCCCTAACATCCAAGATGTTCAAGGGTCAACTGTAATTGATTCTTTTTTGTTTCTCTGTTTGTTTGAAATTCAAGAATTGTTTATTATTTATCAAAATAAGGGAAGTGACATTTTTACAGTCTTTTTATGTGGGTCTCTAAATCTGCAAGACTGAAGATTTTTTTTGTTGCAGTAATTTTTTTTTAATATCTTTATTGGAGTATAGTTGCTTTACAATGGTGTGTTAGTTTCTGCTTTATAACAAAGTGAATCAGCTATACATATACATATATCCCCATATCTCTTCCCTCTTGCATCTCCCTCCCACCCTCCCTATCCCACCCCTCTAGGTGGTCACAAAGCACTGAGCTAGTCTCCCTGTGCTATGTAGCTGCTTCCCACTAGCTATCTATTTTACATTTGGTAGTGTATATGTGTCAGTGCTACTCTTTCTCTTTGTCCCAGCTTACCCTTCCCTCTCCCCATGGCCTCAGGTCCACTCTCTATGTCTACCTCTTTATTCCTGTCCTGGCCCTAGGTCATCAGAACCTTTTTTTTTCTTTTTTTTACATTCCATATATATGTGTTAGCATACGGTATTTGTTTTTCTCTTTGACTTAATTTCACTCTGTATGACAGACTCTAGGTCCATCCACCTCACTACAAATAACTCAATTTCATTTCTTTTTATGGCTGAGCAATATTCCATTGTATACATGTGCCACATCCTCTCAATCCATTCATCTGTTGATGGACACAAAAGGCTGCTTCCATGTCCTGGCTATTGCAAGTAGAGCTGCAGTGAACATTGTGGTACGTGACTCTTTCCGAACTATGGTTTTCTCAGGGTATATGCCCAGTAGTGGGATTGCTGGGTCATATGGTAGTTCCGTTTTTAGTTTTTTAAGGAACCTCCATACTGTTCTCCATAGTGGCTGTATCAATTTACATTCCCACCAACAGTGCAAGAGGGTTCCCTTTTCTCCACACCCTCTCCAGCATTTATTGTTTGTAGATTTTTTGATGATGGCCATTCTGATCATTATGAGGTGATACCTCATTGTGCTTTTGATTTGCATTTCTCTAATGATTAGTGATGTTGAGCAGTCTTTCATGTGTTTGTTGGCAATCTGTATATCTTCTTTGGAGAAATGTCCATTTAGGTCCTCTCCTCATTTTTGGACTGGGTTGTTTGTTTTTTTGATATTAAGCTGCATGAGCTGCTTGTATATTGTGGAAATTAATCCTTTGTCAGTTGCTTCATTTGCAAATATTTTCTTCCACTCTGAGGGTTGTGTTTTCATCTTGTTTATGGTTTCCTTTGCTGTGCAACAGCTTTTAAGTTTCATTAGGTCCCATTTGTTTATTTTTATTTCCATTTCTCTAGGAGGTGGGTCAAAAAGGATCTTGCTGTGATTTATGTCATACAGTGTTACGCCTATGTTTTCCTCTAAGAGTTATATAGTGTCTGGCCTTACATTTAGGTCTTTAATCCATTTTGCATTTATTTTTGTATACGGTGTTAGGGAGTGTTCTAATTTCATTCTTTTATATGTACCTGTCCAGTTTTCCCAGCACCACTTATTGAAGATGCTGTCTTTTCTCCATTGTATAGTCTCGCCTCCTGTATCAAAGATAGGGTGACCATATGTGCGTGGGTTTATCTCTGGGCTTTCTATCCTGTTCCATTGATCTATATTTCTGTTTTTGTGCCAGTACCATGCTCTCTTGATTACTATAGCTTTGTAGTATAGTCCAATGTCAGGGAGCCTGATTTCTCCAGCTCTGTTTTTCACTCTCAAGATTGCTTTGACTATTCGGGGTCTTTGTGTTTCCATACAAATTGTGAATTTTTTTGTTCTAGTTCTGTGAAAAATGCCATTGGTGGTTTGATAGGGATTTCATTGAATCTGTAGATTGCTTTGGGTAGTATAGTCATTTTCACAATGTTGATTCTTCCAATCCAAGAACATGGTATATCTCTCCATCTGTTGGTATCATTTTTAATTTCTTGCATCAGTGTCTTATAGTTTTCTGCATACAGGTCTTTTGTCTCCTTAGGTAGGTTTATTCTTAGGTATTTTATTCTTTTTGTTGCAGTGGTAAATGGGATCGTTTCCTTAATTTCTCTTTCAGATTTTTCATCATTAGTGTATAGGAATGCAAGAGATTTCTGTGCATTAATTTTGTATCCTGCTACTTTACCATGTTCATTGAGTAGCTCTGATAGTTTTCTGGTAGCATCTTTAGGATTCTCTATATAGTATCATGTCATCTGCAAACAGTGACAGCTTTACTTCTTCTTTTCTGATTTGGATTCCTTTTATTTGTTTTTCTTCTCTGATGGCTGTGGCTAAAACTTCCAAAACTATGTTGAATAAAGGTAGTGAGAGTGGGCAACTTTGTCTTGTTCCTGATTTTAGAGGAAATTGTTTCAGTTTTTCACCATTGAGAATGATGTTGGCTGTGGGTTTGTCATTTATGGCCTTTATTATTTTGAGATAGGTTCCCTCTATTCCTACTTTCTGGAGAGTTTTTATCATAAATGGGTGTTGAATTTGTTGAAAGGTTTTTCTGCATCTATTGAGATTATCATGTTTTTTATCCTTCAGTTTGTTAATATGATGTATCACATTGATTGATTTGCATATATTGAAGAATCCTTGCATTCCTGGGATAAACCCCACTTCATCATGGTGTATGATCCTTTTAATGTGCTGTTGGATTTTGTTTCCTAGTTTTTTGTTGAGGTTTTTTGCATCTATGTTCATCAGTGATATTGGCCTGTAGTTTTCTTTTATTGTGACATCTTTAACTGGTTTTGGTATCAGGGTGATTGTGGCCTCGTAGAATGAGTTTGGGAGTGTTCTTCCCTCTGCTATATTTTGGAAGACTTTGAGAAGGATAGGTGTTAGCTCTTCTCTAAATGTATAATAGAATTTGCCTGTGAAGCCATCTGGTCCTTGGCTTTTGTTCTTGGAAGATTTTTAATCA